ATCTATATGTTCGATATAAATAAAGGTTGCACACAACTATTATTAGTCATACAGCAGGGGGAAACATTCACTTGAGTATGTCTAACACACACATACAAAAAGTATGTTGGTACCAAATTTCATGACTTTAGACCAGTCAGAACGAATGTTTTCCTTATACTAAATATCATGCTTGGGCACATATGGCTTAATGAAACTGGTATTTAATGCTGTGCACTCTACAGGTCTGGAACACATGCAGAATAGCACTGCAGTGTGTGTATCACAAAAACTGCAACAGTGGATTAGCAATCCAGCCAGTTTTTTATTAATCCCATACAATATTTTATCATTAATATGTGTATTTCATCCATTTAACTTGGATTAGTGTTGATGACACTATGAGGATTTTTAATTAAACTCTAGAGTGACATATTTCTGATGCCTCTAATTGGGTTTGGGTAGCTTTCTGATGGTAATATTTTTTGGATTAGTAAAATCAAGCCAATTACAATCTAACCTCCAAAACATATTGAAACCAATGGATCTGAGAGGATTTGCAGGGCAGATTTATCTTCCTGAACCGTCGCTTTTACATCTGTGGGCCATTTGACGCCTGTAGCTCTCCCCTTAATCACAAAGCTGATTGTTTTCACCCAAGAAAACTATTTGGAAATAGTTGTTAATCTCCCGGCCCAGTGGAGTCTGTTTTGGTCAGACATAATCTGCCAGAGTCTGATTGAGCTGCATAATCCCTGGATGAGGAAATATACGCCCCCCCCCTCCAGTCCCTCTAGCCTCTATTGGATATCTCTGTTGGTGGCTGGAGATGTGACCCCACCCCCGTCTCCACTGGCGTAGCTTCTCTACTGTATGAGTCTGCCCTGGGGGCTAAACAATATGCTCCTATTTTTTAATTAATCAAAAGCTAAATCTGTGTCTCTGAGAGCAGATCTGCACAGTCTGACTGATGATCTGAGATGCTGAGGGCTTTTTCGCTGCCGATTGGCTACTCTTCTTCCCTCCTTTTCCTCCTATCACACATTCTTCCCCTCTTCCCTTCTCTTTCTGTCCCTTGTCTTTGTTTCCTCCTTCTCTCCTGCCCAACAACCTCTGCCCCCCAGTGTCACATCAAGAGCTGTTTCAGGGTCAGTATTTTTTGTCCAATGATCTCTTGTAGCAGCAAGCAGGCAAATTGCATAACTGAGCCCAGATCGGCGTCTGGAGCCTGGCTGAGACTCTGTGCAGCCGTTGGAGATGCAGTGACGTGGAAGTGACTGACAGCTGGGCCGGTCGAGGAATGAATGGAGGATCAATGGCACATATCAACAGACAACTCCGGACTGTGGGAGGGGGAGGAGGGTGTGTGTATGTGTGTGTGTGTTAGTGCTATACTCCAAGTTAGTTCAGGCTGGGAGGTTTTTTTTCTGGCCATAAGCCAATTACATAATTCAAATATATATATAATATAATTTAAGTTAATCTTAATGATGTTTGTTTGTATTGTGTGTGTTTGTTAAGTGATTATAATTATTTGTGCCTGAAATGGATCAGTACTCACCAGTACTGGGTACCGGTACTTCTGATTTTTGTCCACATGAGTACTATTACTTCAACAATATGTTGATATAACTGATTACATTGCAAATTTTAAGTAAAACAAACTCAATTTTGTAGGTTAAAAAACATTCTTAATCAAGTAGCTTTAGTAATTTTAAGTGATACTAACTTAATTTTGTAATTTTATTTGTACCATGAAAACAAAATACTTAATAAAAAGTACTTAACCAGGAATGGTTCTGAAACTTGGAAAACTAAGTTAGTACTTTAGTAACAGCTGCTCAATCAATAATCTTTTTTAACTTAAAAAATGTACTTTGTGTTGAATTTTTAATTCGCATTACAGTGTTCTTATTGAGTACTCCAACTTGGCTGTACCCACCATTGAGGTGACTGGTATTTTTTCCAAGGGGTATACAATAAAAGTTGAAAAATAATTGTTTAAAAATAACTTCTCTGATACTTTGTTCCCCCAAAATCCAACAAGTCACGTTTTTGGACCTCAGCAGCAATGCTTTTGGGGCACTGAACAACTGTGTCTCTGTGTAAACACAGGTAGCTTAACTCTGAGGGATAAATAATTTTCATTATAAAATAAATAAGAATTAGGCGTTACGGTTGTGTTGTGTTTAGGGTTAGAGTTGTGCTGAATTAGGGTACTGGCACTTTTGTGATTAATAAAGATAAAAGCATGATTTACTGCTGTGTTTAACAGTGACATAAACCAACTCTTAACTGCATCAGAAAACGTTATTAACTAAATTTTACCTAGCCAGCAGGTTGTACAACATTCTGCTATTATATCTGATTCATAAATTATACCTTTATGCAAATGTTTTCCAATTTGACAATGTGGATATGGACTCTTCTACTAACTCAAAAAAGAATCCTCCAATAGTGATTTATGATACATGGGGATTCTCTGTCAGTCTCCTGTTGGTGGCATTTCATTGTGCATTTCCTTCACTTTGTACACCCTCTGCTGGCAAGATTAAGAGTCATTCCCCTTGTATACCCTCTATATAAAGGATCTAAAGGATTATATCAGGCCTATTAGATCATTTCACATGTTTAGAACATATTATTACATAAAATTGACTTTTTATTTTTTCATTTTGATTCTACTTTAGTTTCTTCAAATTAACAAAGCTTTAAAATTGTCCAAGATGTTAACAACCAATCAGAGTGGATTGGTTAATTTTTATTTGTGTCCTTTGTATCATAAGTGTATTTAGTTGAAATTAATTAACAGTTCAACTAGTTGGCTAGTGGCCCACTGGTAATTTAAGTCTGTGTTTATGATTTATATCAATATATGATGCATGTGGGGCAGCTGTGGCTCAGAGGCAGAGTGGGTCCTCCTACCACATGTCGAAGTATCCTTGAGCAAGATACTGAACCCCAAAT